GGAAGGAGGAGTAGAAGGAGGAGGAGTAGAAGGAAGGAGGAGTAGAAGGAGGAGTAGAAGGAAGGAGGAGGAGAAGGAAGGAGGAGAAGGAAGGAGGAGTAGAAGGAAGGAGGAGTAGAAGGAAGGAGGAGGAGAAGGAAGGAGGAGGAGAAGGAAGGAGGAAGGAGAAGGAAGGAGGAAGGAGGAGTAGAAGGAAGGAGGAGTAGAAGGAGGAGGAGTAGAAGGAGGAGGAGTAGGAGTAGAAGGAAGGAGGAGTAGAAGGAAGGAGGAGGAGAAGGAAGGAGGAGTATAAGGAAGGAGTAGTAGAAGGAGGAGGAGTAGAAGGAAGGAGGAGTAGAAGGAAGGAGGAGTAGAAGGAAGGAGGAGTAGAAGGAGGAGGAGGAGTAGAAGGAAGGAGGAGGAGTAGAAGGAAGGAGGAGGAGAAGGAAGGAGGAGTATAAGGAAGGAGGAGTATAAGGAAGGAGTAGAAGGAAGGAGGAGTAGAAGGAAGGAGAAGGAGAAAGAAATCCGTGGAAGCCCGGCTCCTCTTCATTTCCCGGGGCTCTGCCTCTCCGAGTCCTTCGTCGCGTTTTCGCGAGGGGGCCGCGTAGGCATTTCCGCTGCCGCCGATGGATCTCCGTATTTGAGAGCACGCAGGGCGCGCGCGTACGCACAGCGGAGACAAAGGTGTCCCCGGTGTGGAGCCTTGGGGGCAAAGCGCCGTTCGCGAGTAGCGCCGACGAAGGCCGGCACGGCCCCTCAACGAGGCAGGCGGCGTGGCCGCCCCTCGTCTCCCCGGTGCTGACACACCGCATCGGGCACAGGGACGGGGCAGGTTCCAGAGGTCTGTGTTCGTTAGTCGATTAGTTCGCAAGTCCAACTTTGCTCCTGTCGATTCCAAACGCGTTGTACGGCGTGTACACGAAACACGGGGAATGGCTTTAAAAGTTGTACAATTTCCTGTAGACGTAGATGCCACTGGTTCTTCACGTTTTGTAGATGCAGATGCCATTGATTCTTCACGTTCTGCAGATGTAGATGCCACTGGTTCTTCACGTTCTGTCATTGTAGATGCCACTGGTTCTCCACGTGGCGTCAACATGACATACGGACCAGGTTTGTTCGTATCTCTAAAAGTCCACAAGTCGAATGTTCGTAAGTATAGGAGTCCTTGTACTCGGTTGAGGCTGAGTCGGCATACACGGAGGCACAGGAACCGGATTGAGATTCTCGTCACCGACGTTGGCAGCCGTGAGCCGGAATCCAACTCGGTTGGCAGGGTTCATGTTAGTGCAGTGCGCGAACCACTTTGCCACCGCTCCCCACAACCACATACGCACGCACACGCTCTCGGATGCATACAAGGCAGGCAACAGTCCCCCGTGTAGCCTTAAGAGACTTTTGGGGCAAGTGCTGTTAGCGAGCACCAACGGAGGCCGGCACGGCGCACGAGGTGGTGGGCTATCAGCAACGCGCCCGGCCGCCTTTGTCTCCTTAGTGGCAACGTTTACTACACACCGCAGCAGTTACTCATTTGAGGCTGAGTCGACCAAGGGGAGGCCCAGGACCGGTTCGGATAATCGTCACCGGTGTTGGCCGTGAACGAGAATCGAACATCGGATGCCTAGGTTCGTAGCGCAGCGTAGCGCGGACCGCTACGCCGCCGCTCCCCATCCACACTCACACATGCGTACACACACACACACTCATGCGTACACACACACACACTCTCTCTCTAGCGTGCACACACACACACTCTCTCTAGCGTGCGCACGCACACACAGTCGGGTAAGCTGCCAGACCGTGATTGCTGGGCAATGTTGAGTGATAGTGATACGTGCCTGCAAGGCTGAGGAGAGCGTCTGCATTGTGCACTGTGCTCATTGTATCCCTATAAGTTCTCCTGACGCAAAGTCTCGTGTTTTGACTGGCTCCGGTGGTGTGTGTTGCGTGTGTGTGTTGCGTGTGTGTGGTGTATGCTGCGTGTGTGTGGTGTATGTAGCGTCTGTGTTGCGTGTGTGTGGTGTATGTTGCATCTATGTTGCGTGTGTGTGGTGTATGTTGCGTCTATCTTGCGTGTGTGTGGTGAATGTTGTGTCTAGCGTGTAGTGTGTGTGGTGTATGTTGTGTCTAGCGTGTGGTGTGTGTTGCGTGTGTGTGGTGTATGTTGTGTCTAGCGTGTGGTGTGTGTGTGTTGCGTGTGGGTGGTGTGTGTGTTGTGTGTGTGTCTTGCGCGAGTTTGTGTGGTGCACATGACGCAGTCGTTGTCACAGCATGTCATGCAGGGCAGTCTGTGCACAAACGGCACCCTCCCTCAGCATTTCGTTTGGGAGATCATCTCTACCCGGTGCCTTTCCTGGTCTCAGGCTCTGGATCGCCTTCAGTACTTCCTCAACAGATGGCACCTCAGCCAGTCACTCACAGGGAGTGACTTCTAATGTTTGAGGCTCCGCAGCCTTAGTAGGGTCATCCCCAATTTGGCCCACGATGTTTTCCAGGCTGAGGGATTTCCCCTCCTCCAGGACCTCACAGAAATGCTCAGCAAATCTGCAAACCTGTTTCTGGGGGTCGGAGATTGGATCACCGTTCTTTCCCCTAATGATGGTAATAGGTGTGGCGCTGCAGGTTACTTTTTGATGGAATTAAAGAGCGATTTGTGTTTGCGGGCCATTGAGGCAGACTCCATCTCCTCAGCAACCCGCGACCACCACCCATCCTTGCAGCGCCTCACGGCTCTCCGAACCTCCGAGCGAAGGCTGCGGTAAGCCTCCTCGTTCTCTGACGTGGGATGCTGTAGACGATGACAGTGGGCCTGTCGCTTTTTCTCAGCCAGCCTGAACACCTCTGTCAGCCAGGGTCTCTGAGGACCGTGTACCCAAAGCATCCATTGCAGCTGCATGAGCCACAGTCCTAAACCTCGCCCATTTACCCTCGACATCAGGAGTGGGGGACGATGCCAACCCCAGCTGCAAGCGATGATGAAATTCTCGCTTGCAACTCTCATCAGCTAGCTGAGACCATGCCACGTTGGGTTTGAATGGGGTCCTGGGTGTATACCCACCACCAGAGTGGAAGAATGGCAGGCACATCTTACAGATGACAAGTCGATGGTCAGAGGGTAAATCAGCTCCACGATAGGTCCTGGTGTAAAGAACATGGGCCCGCATCCGCAGTTCTGTCACTATGTAGTCCAGCAGATGTTCTTGCTTGGACCCAGCATGCATCCATGATGTTGTGTGGATGCGCCGATGCCGGAACAGCGTGTTGGTAATTACAAGCCCATGGGCTGTACGGAAGTCTAGCAGACTTCTACCGTTGTTATTGAGCTGATCTGGACCATGTCTCCAATCACTCCAGACCAGGTGCAAGCATCATTACCAACTCGGGCATTGAAGTCACCCTACAAGATGACTCTATCCCAAGGGGCCACTTTAGCCAGCACCTGTGACAGGAGGTCATAGAAGGCATCTGACTCATCGGCCTTGCCTGCATCCCTCCACGGATGTTCATCTTCGGTGGGGGCATAAGTCACCACGACCACCATCCTCGCCTCTGGTTGATGGGAAGGTGAGCCCAAAGTAGCCTGGGGCTTACAGCTTCCCACACCTCACCGCCTCGCTCCCACGCCCCCTTCATTATTTTGTTCAGAAGAACAGCCACTCCCTGTTGTTTGGCAGTCTCCTGCCCCGAGTAGAGGACTGTCCACTCCTCTTGGTGGCCGGAGCCAGAGCTGGTCCACCGAACCTCCTGAAAACCACAGAGATCCAGGCGGCACCGGTCCAGCTCCCGACAGAGGAGTTGCAGCCTCTCCCCCGCAGTGACCGTTCGAACATTCCATGTGGCCATCCGTAGTGGCTTTTTGTTGTTTCTGGAGGAGCCCCGAGGGTAAGGATTCAGTCTCCTGGCTCCACCAAATGGGGTTTGGCCAGGAGACGTCATAGACGCCTGTCCCCCCAGGGCCTCCGGCACAAGCTTAATACATTTTTTTACCTCGTAGTTTAGTGGTAGTTAAATTGAAGGTGAAGGGGTTACCAGCCCCTCGCACCCATGCAAAGCCCCCATTTGGCCACTGTGGTGGTTACAAATGCCATGAAGGGAAAGGCCAATCTACATTGGCCCACCCCCCACGGCACTGCCCACCACAACGTTGCCGTCCGGCACCACGAGGAGGTAGGGGGTTGTTTTTGCCAACGAAAACACACACACAACACAACAACAACAACCGCCATTCGCCACTAAGTGATGGTGACGTCACCACGGCACCTGTGCCAGGCCAGGTACATTTTGACGCCACGTGTGTCGTGGAAGGCTCGCCGCTGGCAGGAGGTCACGGGACAGACCCTGCAGGTGCCAATGGGTTGGCTGATTGAGATGACTGGCAGATGCACCACCAGCTGTGCCCCTTACTGTGCCTACTCGCTGCGCTTTAGCCGCCCGGCGCTCCGCTCGTTGTTGTGAACGTCGCTCCTGCCTCAGACTGCCCAGCAGCAGCAGCGTCCTTCACGAGCCTCCTCCACAGAGGTCGTTTTTGGCTGCTGGTTACCGGCCATCGGCAAAGTCCTTCTCTAGCCCGTGCCACATTGACAAACGCGCGCGCACACACACACAAACTCGCACGCGTAAACGCACGGCGTACCGTGCGTATCACTTCAAAACACAGACACTCCCCCATACTTACATAATTTTACTTGTTAACATTTTGTTTAAGGCGCAGCAGACCCAAGACGGCTTCGGAGTGCCATACCACGTCGCGTTGAGCTCACCGCGCCTGCGAGCGCCTGCCATGTGCACACGCCCAACGCACACACAACGTACACGCACACACACCCAACACGCACACACCCATCACACACACACCCAACGTACACACGCCCAGCGCACACACCTGAACACGCACTCAACGTACACGCGCCCAATGCACACACACCCAACACGCACACCAAGACTCGCCCAATGTACGCACACCCAACACACACGCAACCACCCCTATCCCACCACGTGCTCTTCCCCTCGCTCCCCAGGATGCCTCTCTCCCCTCGCCGCTGAACCTTCGCCGGCTCCATGAACTCCCCCGGCGGCGCCGGCGACGGCGCCGGCGCCCTCCCGGACTCGATCCGCTCAGCCGGGGAGGACGAGGACGAGGAGGAGGAGGAGGAGGTGGGGGGCGAGGCGGACGGAGACGCCGCGGGCGGCGCCCGGCGACGAGCGGCGTCCCGCGACCCTCCCGGCGACGGCGCCGACGCCGTCGCCGGCGGCGGAGGCGGCAGCCGCCTCAAGCGCCTTCTGGTGCGTGCCAACCCGGTGGCCGCCATCTCGAACCTGCTGGAGAGCCGGCGCGCCCGCGCCGCGCTCGGGAAGAGCCGCACCCTCGACGGGGGACTCGACGGCGCCGGCGAGGGGGCGAGCGACGGCGCGTCGCTGCACAGCGGCGCCGGCACCCTGGAGGGCCGCGGCGGAGGGCGCCGCAAGAAGAGCCGGCTGGTGGCCTCGCTGAGCTTCGCCGGGAGCCCTCGGCAGGCCGACGCGGCGCCGGCGCCCGGCACGGCCGACGCGGCCGGGGAAGAGACGGCGCCGGCGGGGAAGAGCAAGGCCAAGAGCTTCCGCCGGCTCTTCGGCCTGCGCCGGAGTAAGAAGGGGAAGGAGGGCGGCGGTCGGTGCGGCGGCGACGACGGCGCCGGCGATGACGGCGGCGGTGCCGTCGCCGACCTCGATCGGAGGCCGACAACTCCGGCGCGAGCACGGCGGCAACCGGCGCCGCCGTCCGCTACCGCGACGACGACGACGACGATCGTCATTTCGGTGACGACGCCGGCGTCGAGGGCCGTGGCGCCGGCAACGCCGTCGCCGGCGCCGCCGTCGGCGCCGGGGGCGGAGGGGGAGACGCGGGAGGGGTCGGAGCTGTCGTCGGACGGGCTGAGCGCGCTGTTCGGCGACGTGGCGTCCCTCAAGAGCTTCGACTCGCTCACCGGCTGCGGCGAGGGCTTTGCCGACGACGACGACGTGGAGGTGCCGCTGGCCCTTGCCGCGCCCGGCGACGGCGCCGGCGGCGGCGGCGCCGGCGGCGCCGTGTCGTCGTACCAGGGCGGCGGGGAGGGCATGGCAGCGCCGCCCATCCTCGCCGAGCCGTGGGACGACGACGACGACGACGACGAGGTGCCCGCGGCGGCGGCGGCGGCGGCCGGCGTCGCCCCGGCGTTCGCGGCGCCGGGCGGCGCGGAAGCCGGCGCCGCCGCGGCGGCGCCGGCTTCCGCGGAGCCGGCGGTCGAGCGTTTGGCGGAGCCGCTGAGCCCGCAGAGCGAGCTGCACTCGCAGCAGACGAGCGACGAGGGCTACTGCGAGCTCGCCACGCCCGGCCCGGACGACGATAGCTGCGCCACGGACTGCGGGCGCGGTTCCTCCTCCTCCTCGTCGTTCCCCGCGGCCGCCGCCGCCGCCGCCGCCGGTGCCGTCGGCCGCGCGGGGGGCGGCGGCGGCGGGAAGCAGCGGCAGGGAGGCGGCGGCGGCTTCCCACGAGACACGTACAGCGGGGACGCTCTCTACGAGCTGCTGAGCGACCAGGAGGAGGAGGAGGAGGAGAGCTGCGGCCTCACCACCCCCTTCTCCGACGACGAGCCGCCCCAACAACAACAACAACAGCCGCAGCCGCGGCCGCACCTGCAGGCGCCGGCCGGCGCCGCGGTGACCGCCGCCACCGCCGTGTCGGCGAAGCAGCAAGGACGCAGAGACGAGTGGCTCGGCGCCGAGGAGGTGGCGGCGCCGGTGCCGGCGGTGCCGCGTCCGTGCCGGGCCGGGGACGCGGTCGTGGTTGCGCCGAGGCGGAGGGCGGGGGCCGGCAGCGATGGTGGCGGTGGCGGTGGGGGAGGCGGTGGAGGTGGAGGGGTTGGGGGGCTGGCCCCCCCGCGGCAGGGGGAGCGCGACCGCAAGGTGCTCACCCACTCACTCACCCACCCACTCACTCACTCACTCACCCACTCACCCACTCACCCACCCGCCCGCCCACTCACTCACTCACCCACTCACCCACTCACCCACCCACCCGCCTGCCCACTCACTCACCCACTCACTCACCCACTCACTCACTCACCCTCTCACTCACCCATCCACTCACCCACCCACCCACCCACTCACTCACCCACTCACCCACTCACTCACCCACCCACTCACTCACCCACTCACCCACTCACTCACCCACCCACTCACCCACCCACTCACTCACCCACTCACTCACCCGCTCACCCACTCACTCACTCACCCGCCCACTCACCCACCCACCCGCCCACTCACTCACCCACCCACCCACCCGCCCACTCACTCACCCACCCACCCACCCACCCACCCGCCCACTCACTCACCCACCCACTCACTCACCCACTCACTCACTCACTCACCCACCCACTCACCCACCCACTCACCCACCCACTCACCGACCCACTCACCCACCCACTCACCCACCCACTCACCGACCCACTCACCGACCCACTCACCGACCCACTCACCGACCCACTCACCGACCCACTCACCCACCCACTCACCCACCCACTCACCGACCCACTCACCCACCCACTCACCCACCCACTCAATCACCCACTCACCCACTCACTCAACCACTCACTCACCGACCCACCCACCCACTCATCGACCCACTCACTCACACACTCACTCATCCACTCACTCACCCACCCACTCATCGACCCACTCACTCACCCACTCACTCACCCACCCACTCACCCTCTCACTCACTCACCCACTCACCGACCTGCTCACCCACCCGCTCACCAACCTGCTCACCCACCCGCTCGTCGTGACTACGTCGACGATGATCTTGACGATGATCTTGACGATGATCTTGACGATGATCTTGACGATGATCTTGACGATGATCTTGACGATGATCTTGACGATGATCTTGACGATGATCTTGACGATGATCTTGACGATTACAATGACGATTACAATGACGATGACGATTACGATCACGATGACGATCACGATGACGATTACGATGATCTTACGATTACGATGATGATTACGATGACGATTATGATGACGATGATCTTGACGATTACGATGACGATGATCTTGACGATGACGATCTTGACGATTACGATGACGATTACGATGCCGATGTTGATGACAATGGTGACGATGTTGACGATGCAGGCCATGTCGGAGGTGTAGGACGAGGTGAGCATCCTCCGTCCCTCGAAACGACGATGACGATGTTGATGACCATGACGATGTTGATGACGATGTTGATTACGATGACGATGTTGATGACCATGACGATGTTGATGACCATGACGATGTTGATGACGATGACGATGACGATGTTGATGACGATGTTGACGACGATGACGATGTTGACGATGTTGATGACGATGTTGATGACGATGACGATGTTGATGACGATGACGATGTTTATGACGATGTTTATGACGATGTTGACAATGACGTTGCAGGCCGTGTCGGAGGTGTGGGACGAGGTGAGCATCCTCCTCCGTCCCTCGAAACGATGATGACGATGACGATGTTGATGACCATGACGATGTTGAGGACGATGTTGATTACGATGACGATGTTGATTACGATGACGATGTTGATGACGATGTTGATGACGATTTACATTATGAGACCTCCTTTGCCAGTTACAAGATATAGTAATAGGTTTCACCCTTTTAACTGGCACAAAAACTGACACCTTTATTCAAGGCATCATGTTTGCAATAACCACAACACAAGCAGTCAAAATGCAAACAAAAAAGACAACTCTGATAATAATATGCACTGTCCTTGAATTTGATTGGTCCACACCCGAGACGGCTTTTCTTAGAGCCTAGTCTCCACTGGTGTTGGACCAGAAGACGCCAAAAGGCGTACAACTCAAAAACAGCGCACTATCAGAGTATTGAGGGCTTGGGGTGAGCATTTACATTATGAGACCTCCTTTGCCAGTAACAAGATATAGGAATAGGTTTCACCCTTTTGTTACTGGCAAAGGAGGTCTCATAATGTAAATGCTCACCCCGAGCCCTCAGTACTCTGATAGTGGCGCTGTTTTTGAGTTGTACGCCTTTTGGCGTCTTCTGGTCCAACACCAATGGAGACTAAATGGCTCTAAAGAAAGCCGTCTCGGGTGTGGACCAATCAAATTCAAGGACAGTGCCAATATCATTATCAGAGTTGCCTCTTTTTGTTTTCATTTTGACTGCTTGTGTTGTGGTTATTGCAAACACGATGCCTTGAATAAAGGTGTCAGATTTTGTGCCAGTTAAAGGGGCGAAACCTATTCCTATATGTTGATGACGATGTTGACGATGACGTTGACGACGATGTTGACGACGATGTTGACGATGACGTTGCAGGCCGTGTCGGAGGTGTGGGACGAGGTGAGCGACCTCCTCTGCCCGGCGTGTCGCCGCGTGCTCGCCGCCACGGGCGACTGCTCGCGCTGCTGCTCCGACTGCCTCCTGCTGGTGCGCAACGTCTACGGGCCGGCCAGCTTCTCCTCGCGCCAGCCACAACAACAACCGCAGCAACAACAACAGCAACAACAGCCACAACAACAACAACAGCAACAACACCACCACCACCAACACCAACAGCAGCAGCAGCAGCAGATTCCGTACGGCAGCAGCGGTGGCGGCGCCGTGGCGGTGCCGGCGTCCAGAGACGGCGCCGCGGCGGTGACGGCGGCGGCGGCGCCGACCGTCGCCGCCGCCGCCGCCGCCTCGTCGTCATCGTCGCCTTCCTCTCCCGCCCTCCCCCCCCGCCCCTCCTTCCTCCCGCTGTGGCCCGGCGGGGCGCGGGCCCTGGCCGGGTCGACGCCGTCGCTCGCCAGGGCGGCCTCGCCGGCGAGGAGTCGCGCCGCCGCCGGCGACGCCGCCGGCGCCGGCGACACCGCCGCCGGCAACGCCGGCGACGACGGTCGGGTGACGGCGGCGTCCAAGTTGAGGCCTAAGGGCAAGGCGCTGCAGTGGGGCCTGCTGAGCCAGGGCTCGGTGTTGAGCCTGTGAAGGGGGGGCGCGGTTCCCGCGGCGCCGGCGCCCCGCCGAGCCTGGGAAGGCCGAGCGGGGGCGGTCCGCCCCCACCCCCCTCGCCGTGTGTCCGTCTCTCCGCGTAGAAACTCCACGGGCGTAGAGAGCGAGCGAGCGGTGTTTTTGTAACGCGCGCACCACCGCCTCCGTGGCCCGCGCGGCCGGCGGCGGCGGGCGCCAGCAGAGCCGCGCTCGTCGGCAGCTTTGAGGCTCGCTCGATCGACCTTGCCGGTGAACTGCCCGCAGTGTGTGTGTGTGTGTGGTGTGTGTGTGTGGTGTGTGGTGTGTGGTGTGTGGTGTGTGTGCGGTGTGTGTGTGTGCGGTGTGTGTGTGTGTGCGGTGTGTGTGTGTGTGCGGTGTGTGTGTGCGGTGTGTGTGTGTGTGTGCGGTGTGTGTGTGTGTGTGCGGTCTGTGTGTGCGGTGTGTGTGTGCGGTGTGTGTCGGTGTGTGTGTGCGGTGTGTGTCTGTGTGTGTGTGCGGTGTGTGTGTGCGGTGTGTGCGGTGTGTGTGTGTGTGCAGTCTGTGTGTGCGGTGTGTGTCTGTGTGCGGTGTGTGTGTGTGTGCGGTGTGTGTGTGTGCGGTGTGTGTGTGTGCGGTGTGTGTATGCGGTGTGTGTGTGCGGTGTGTGTGTGCGGTGTGTGTGTGTGTGCGGTGTGTGTGTGTGCGGTGTGTGTGTGTGTGTGCGCGGTGTGTGTGCGGTGTGTGTGTGTGTGCGCGGTGTGTGTGTGTGCGGTGTGTGTATGCGGTGTGTGTGTGCGTGCGGTGTGTGTGCGTGTGTGTGCGCGGTGTGTGTGTGTGTGCGGAGTGTGTGTGTACGGTGTGTGTGTGTGTGCGGTGTGTGTGTGTGTGGTGTGTGTGTGTGTGCGGTGTGTGTGCGGTGTGTGTGTGTGCGGTGTGTGTGTGCGCGGAGTGTGTGTGTGTGTGCGGTGTCTGTGTGTGTGCGGTGTATATGTGTGCGGTGCGGTGTGTGTGTATGTGTGGTGTGTGTGCCCGCAGACGTTCGGAATCAACGATCGGTTTCGACGTGAAGCGTCTCATCGGCAGCAGAGTCGGGCTCGCTTGATGAACCGATGGCCGAGCTGTCCACGATGCTTGTCGGCAAGGGACCGGCGATCGTCGTTCAAGCGCCTCATCGGCAGATGTTCGGCATCGCTTGAACCATCACGGAACTGCCCAGATGTTTACGGGCCGGAGACGGTCACTGATAAGACACGGGGGTCGGACTTTAAACAGAACACAATCGCACACAACACCAACGAGTCATCTGCGTCGTCGATGGAGAACGTCGGTTACAGAACAACGAGCAGGCGACGTCCTTCCACGCTGAGCAAATAAAAGTATCTCCTTGACACATCTCGTCAGCCGTTCGGACCTTCCTCCCCGCATCTCATCGGCAGCAGAGTCGTGACCGTCCATAAGCGCAACTCTGCACCGCGTTTCAACATTGAGGGTCTCATTGGTTGTGTTTTGCGTCTGTCCCCTTCGTGCGTGTGTCTCTCTCGATTAGTCTGTGCGTTAGACGGCCTGTCTTGTCTGCACTGTCCGTGGGTGTGTGTGTGTGGTGTGTGTGTGCGTGCGGTGTGTACGTGCGGTGTGTGTGCATGTGGTGGGTGTGCGTTTGTGTGTGCGGTGTGAGCGGTATGTGTGTGTGCAGTGTGTGTCCTGTGTGTCCTGTGTGTGTGTGGTGTGTCCTGTGTGTGTGTGGTGTGTGTCCTGTGTGTGGTGTGTGTCCTGTGTGTGGTGTGTGTCCTGTGTGTGGTGTATCCTGTGTGTGTGTCCTGTGTGTGTCCTGTGTGTGTGGTGTGTCCTGTGTGTGTGGTGTGTGTCCTGTGTGTCCTGTGTGTGTGTGGTGTGTGTCCTGTGTGTGGTGTGTGTCCTGTGTGTGGTGTGTGTCCTGTGTGTGGTGTATCCTGTGTGTGTGTCCTGTGTGTGTCCTGTGTGTGTGGTGTGTCCTGTGTGTGTGGTGTGTGTCCTGTGTGTCCTGTGTGTGTGTGGTGTGTCCTGTGTGTGTGTGGTGTGTGTCCTGTGTGTGGTGTATCCTGTGTGTGTGTCCTGTGTGTGTGGTGTGTCCTGTGTGTGTGGTGTGTGTCCTGTGTGTCCTGTGTGTGTGTGGTGTGTGTCCTGTGTGTGGTGTATCCTGTGTGTGTGTCCTGTGTGTGTCCTGTGTGTGTGGTGTGTCCTGTGTGTGTCCTGTGTGTGGTGTGTGTCCTGTGTGTGTGGTGTGTGTCCTGTGTGTGTGGTGTGTGTCCTGTGTGTGTCCTGTATGTGTGGTGTGTGTGTGTCCTGTGTGTGTGTGGTGTGTCCTGTGTGTGTGTGGTGTGTGTCCTGTGTGTGTGGTGTGTGTCCTGTGTGTGTGGTGTGTGTCCTGTGTGTGTGTGGTGTGTCCTGTGTGTGTGTGGTGTGTGTCCTGTGTGTGTGTGGTGTGTCCTGTGTGTGTGTGGTGTGTGTCCTGTGTGTGTGGTGTGTGTCCTGTGTGTGTGGTGTGTGTCCTGTGTGTGTGGTGTGTGTCCTGTGTGTGTGTGGTGTGTCCTGTGTGTGTGTGGTGTGTCCTGTGTGTGTGTGGTGTGTGTGTGTCCGTCCGCCTGTCCTATCGCTGCAGTCTCCCCGCGGCTCTGCCCGAGTCTGCGGTGACGCCACGGCACCGACTCGCGGCATCTGTCGCTGCCACAACCACGCACATCACCACCCCACTCCTCCCTCATCTCCCTCCCTCCCCACATCACCCCACTCCTCCCTCATCTCCCTCCCTCCCTGCATCACCACCCCACTCCTCCCTCATCTCCCTCCCTCCCTGCATCACCACCCCACTCCTCCCTCATCTCCCTCCCGCTCCTTCCTGCATCACCACCCCACTCCTCCCTCATCTCCCTCCCGCTCCTTCCTGCATCACCACCCCACTCCTCCCTCATCTCCCTCCCTCCCTGCATCACCACCCCACTCCTCCCTCCCGCTCCTCCCCCACACCACCTACGCCCCTCCTCCCTCTCCCTCCCGCTCCTCCCCCACACCACCTACGCCCCTCCTCCCTCTCCCTCCCGCTCCTCCCCCACACCACCTACGCCCCTCCTCCCTCTCCCTCCCGCTCCTCCCCCACACCACCTACGCTCCTCCCTCTCCTCTCTCCCCCTCCTCCCGCTCCTCCCCCACACCACCTACGCCCCTCCCTCCACGCAGCACGCATCCACCTCCATCCGCCTCCATCCTCACAAAGACCCCCCGTGTAGCCTCCACATGCTGTTGGGACAAGTGCTGCTAGCGAGTAGCAGCAGCAGCAGCTATGAAGGCCGGCACGGCACGCGAGGGGGTGGGTGGCCAGCACCTCCTTGTTGCTGAGTCGACCGACACACAGAGACAGAGACACACAGAGACACAGAGACACAGACACACACCGACACACAGACATACACGCACACAGACACACACAGAGACACAGACATACACAGACACACACCGACACACAGAGACACACAGACACACACACAAAGACAGACACACTGACACAGAGACATACACACAGAGACACACGGAGACACAGAGGCACACAGAGACACAGACACACACACCGACACACAGACATACACGCACACAGACACACAGAGACACAGACATACACAGACACACACCGACACACAGAGACACACGGAGACACACACAGAGACACACACAAAGACAGACACACTGACACAGAGACATACACACGGAGACACACGGACACACACAGAGACACAGACACACACAGACACAGAGACAGACAGAGACACACGGAGACACAGACACACTCCGACAGACAGTCATACACACAGAGACACACGGAGACACAGACACACACGTACACTCTTGAGAACAACCTCGACGCACGGAGTTTGTGAGTCGACATCGCCTCCCCGCCCGCTCAAAAAAACGATGTTGACACAGCGGGTGGGGGAGCAGCAGCAGGAGGAGGAGGAGGTGGAGGAGGTGGTGGAGGAGGAGGTGGTGGAGGTGGAGGAGGTGGTGGAGGTGGAGGAGGAGGTGGAGGAGGAGGAGGTGGAGGAGGAGGTGGTGGAGGAGGAGGTGGTGGAGGAGGTGGAGGAGGAGGTGGAGGAGGAGGAGGTGGTGGAGGAGGTGGTGGAGGTGGAGGAGGTGGTGGAGGTGGAGGAGGGTCCTTGTGAAGTGGAGCCTCGCTGAGACTTTACCCCCCCCCCTCGGCCCAAACGACCACGTCCCGGTGCCCCGCCTGGGTACAACTCCTCGTCACCATCGCCTGCCGCTGGCGTTGTCGACAACGCCGCACTGGTGCTCCCCCTCAACCCCCCTCACCACCCTCACCCCCCCTCACCCCCCTCACCACCCTCACCCCCCTCACCACCCTCACCACCCTCACCACCCCCCTCACCCCCCTCACCACCCTCACCACCCCCCCTCACCCCCCTCACCACCCCCCCTCACCACCCCCCCTCACCACCCTCACCACCCCCCTCACCACCCTCACCACCCCCCCCTGACCACCCCCCCCCTCACCCCCCTCACCACCCTCACCACCCCCCCTCACCACCCCCCCTCACCCCCCTCACCACCCCCCCCTGACCACCCCCCCCCCCCCTCACCCCCCTCACCACCCTCACCACCCCCCCCTCACCCCCCTCACCCCCCCCTCACCCGTGCCGGATTATCCCAGGAGTAGAAGTCGCTATATAAATGTTCCGGGCCACACTAAACGCTGTCACGCGATCAATTTACCGGTTCAGTGATTCTGCACTTGCTCTAGGACTATAGTACTATACTGCCCTTCAACATTTACGAACGACTGGGTGTTTAAGGTTAGCGATTTGTCGTATTATCTGACCGTGAAAAGCAAATAAAAAAATATACAATTACTTTACTATGCAAGTTAAACATTTGTGTATTTTAATATTTGTTAAATGTTGACTTGAAGCTTTTGTGACTGCAGGAATAGTTTTTTATTATTATTTTGAACCGATCTACGTGACTTTAATGTGTTTTTTTCATGTATTTAGGGCCTCTTTCTAATAAGATATACTGCAGGGCCGGCACGAGCTTCATCCGGCACTGCCCCTCCTCACTGCCCCTCCTCACTGCCACCTCCTCACTGCCACCTCCCCTCACTGCTCCTCCGCCCTCCGTTGTTGTTGGAGGGCGACTGCCTCCAACTGCCCAGTAGCATCCTTCACGAGCCTCCTCCACAGAGGCCGATCTTGACACCGCTGGTACCAGTCATCGGCAAGTCCACTCAGCTCCACGTCCTCCTGTACCACGTCACTCCATCTCTTCTCTAGCCCGTGCCGCGCCCG